TTTCCTTACAACAGGAGTTGGTTTTTAAGCATGTTTGGATATCTCGAGAGAGAACCACATCGATTTGGGAATTTAGTATTTTGGGTTTGCTAGAACATAATTAGGAAAGGGTGAAAGTATCTAAGCAAATCTCCCCCGATTTACCTTGCAATCGTTCGTTCTTTGTAATCTGTTTGTTCTCTGTATTGGATGCTCCAGCACTATAGCAAATATTTCCCTTGCAATCGTTCGTTCTTTGTAATCTGTTTGTTCTCTATATTTGGATGCTCCAGCATTATAGCAAATATTTCTACAACTTTTTCCTTCTACTGTTTATAATTTATTTTCATCGCATTCACAATACTTAATTCAAACTATTTTTATTTTATCTTTTAGTTTTCTAAACTGTTAAATCAAAGTATAGCATCAATCTCTGTGGAAACGACCTTGTTTATACTACAATTGGCGAGAATAGTGTATACTTGAACTAATTTTTTCTTGGTTGTGAGGAAGCAAACAATGGCAGACACAATAATTTTTTTTTCAGATATAAACTGGTGTGAAGGCTCTATTTTTTCTTTTTTTTAGAGCTGGTGCAAAGTCTCTGTTGGGGAATAAGAAATGGGGGAGAGAAGTTGAATTTCTCTCTCCTCTTCTTTTATTATTTTCAATTTTTTTCTTTACTTTTTTTAGCTGTCGCATCATGCAGCAACTTTCACCATTTTTTTTAATCACAGCCACTTTTTTTTTACACTTTTATTTTTACTTTTTTAAAATGTAATAATTTTTTTTTTGCGATATTTTTAGAAACTAGGATTCAAAAATTTATCTACAACGGCTCCACTGCGATATAAAACTTTGCTCGCTTCTTGTGAGGTAAATATGTATTCCAACACTCGCTCTTATTTTTGTCTCTTTGTTGCAGCTCAGATACTCCCAGTATTGGTTGAGTATCTTCAGAAGATCTTACCCTCTCGGTTACCATCCATTTGGGGATGACGTCGTGAGGGTAATTTGTTGCAACTTAGATACTCCCAATATTGGTTAAGTATCTTTAGAAGACCTTACCCTCTTGGTTACTATCCATTTGAGGATGGCGCCTATGAAGGTCATTTGTTGCATCTCAGATACTCCTAGTATTGGTCGAGTATCTTTAGAAGACCTTACCCTCTTGGTTACCACTCGTTTGGGGACGACGCATGCTAGGGTAATTTGTTGCAGCTCAGATACTCCCAGTATTGGTTGAGTATCTTCAAAAGACCTTACCCTCTTAGTTACTATCCCTTTGGGGATGACGCCTATGAGGGTAATTTGTTGCAGCTCAGATACCCCAAATATTGGTTAAGTATCTTCAGAAGACCTTGCCTTCTTGGTTACCATCCATTTGGGGGACGCCTATGAGGGTAATTTGTCATTTGTTACAGCTCAGATACTCCTAGTATTGGTTAAGTATCTTCAAAAGACCTTACCCTCTCTAGTGCAGCGTCTTCGACAAGGATCGAGCGGGTGCAGCTTCTTCGCCAAAGATCGAGCGGGTGCGACTTCTTCGCCAACGATCGAGTGCAAGTTTTTCGTTAACGATTGAGCGAGTGCGACTTCTTTGCCAATGATCGAGCGCAACGTCTTCGCCAACAATCCAGCGGGTGCAACTTCTTCGCCAACGATCGAGCGAAGATCCAGTTTGCGAGATGATGCCTATCATGAGGAGCAAAAACTACATTGATGGTTTATGCCTCCGATGATCATCCTTCATTTTATTGAACTAGCCTTCAATAGGGTTGAGCACTGTGTTGTCACTCAAGGTTGAACGTATTTGTCCTGCAATGTCATTATGGCATCGCCGTTTTTTTAGTTTTTTTTTAACTTGGATTTTTTTATTTGAACTTGGATTTTTTTAACTTCATTTTCTTTTTGAACTTGGTCTAAACTTAAATTTTTAGTTTAAGCTGCCTACGTACCCTCTAACAAAAGGGATCAAGTCATAACGTAGTTCATTTATAATTTTTTTTCGGTCATTCACCTTTTAAATACATGTGGGCTAAGAGTGTTGTGCAGTTTCTCTTGTGATAAGGAGCGTTACCTTTCAAATGTCATGATTTTGACCATATCCTTCATTTGTAGGATTGGTTGAAATGAGAAGACTTTTCTTCACCTTCAAGCAACCTTCTATATTTATGACGAGAGAGAATTTTCTCTTCATAGTGAAGAAACAAGGCTCAGAATCTTTTTGCCATCAAATTTTTTCGTCTCCAAGATCTTCATCTTTCCTTTGTTTCGATTATTTGCCCCCACTTTGAATTTCCTATTAAGTCTTGTTATTTTTGTTAGTTGTTCAATCAAATAAATCCCTAAAATTAAGAACATACACTTAATTTGTTACTAGGGTATAATTATCTAAAATATAATTTAGGATTAAGAAAAAAAAACCTAGCCTTTGTGCAATATTTGTACGTCTGGCCATTTTTTAAATCAGCATATATATATATAAGTTGTTTTTTAGGTTTTTGCCTAAAAAAAAGAAAATTTTGGTGTGTGGCCAAGAAACATAAATAGGGGCAATCGTGAGAGGATTACATTGTAGCCTATTTTGTGAGATTTTCTACAACAATTTTGTGGTGGCGGCTCGGGTATTGACAGCATAGAAAGGCCAGATCGAGATCGTTGTTTTGGGTAGTTTAGATATTGATTTTTCATTCCAGATATTTGAGTGTTTTGTATCCAATCTCATATTTTAGTAGAACCCACATCTGAACGGAAGACTAGACGTAGCCGATAAACTACCAGAGTGAACCGGTAGTTTTTCCCATAGCACAAGCATTACAAAAATTCATAGACAGACTGGACAATTTACAAGTGTTGTCAAACTTTATTACATGTCTAACAATGGAGAGAGCCGGATGCCAAGTCACCTATGCCACAAATTAGCAGAAGACAAAGATGCAGAATGAGAAGAAGGAATAGAACACAAAACCGAAGAAGCTTGAGATGTCAAAGCCTGGGATGTGAAGGGAACTTTGGACAGATTAGCAGACGAATAAGAAGATAGTTGAAACCGGTACAGTCCATCATGTAGAGTCAGTATGTTGGTCCTTCACACAGCAAAACAAGGGGTGAAATTCAAAAAATACTGAATTATCTTTGACAAACTGACTGACAGTTATGAGATTTTTTGTTATTTTGGGAACATGAAGCAGATTATTAAGGTGCATAATATGATTAGTAGGAGTTTGAAAAGAATAATGACCAAAGTGAGATATGTCCAAACCTGCACCATTCCCAACTTGCACCTGATTACTGCCAAGATACTCTGTACCAACATTCAAGTTGTTGAAATTATGCATCAAGTGATTGGTAGCACCCGGATCAGAATACCAATTGTTGTCATGATTCAATTCAGGAGCAGCAAGTAGAGCAGACATTTGAGGATAACCATTTGATGTTTGATATTTAGGAGAATATGAGCTGGAACCAGAGGAAGGATGGCCTTGAAACCTTGGATAAAAACGAGAATAGCACTTTAGAGTAGTATGGCCAAATTTCCACACAGTTGACATTGAATCCGACCTCTATTATTCCACTGTTTGCCTCCTCTATTACCCCGACCTCTAAACCGATTGTTTGTTCCATTGTGACTCAAGGATGGAGCAGAATTTTTGGGAGCATCATTCTCTTTTCCCAAAGCAACAGCATGAGTAAGGTGAGCAGAAGGAAGAGTACCGTCAGAATTAAGTAGACTCTTCTTGCTTTCATTCCTATTTTCTTGTGTCAATAATAGAGCCATTACTTCCTGCACTGTTTGAGGACCAGATTTTTGCAGTAATAACAGATATCATCGACTCAAATTCAAATCCTAGGCCAAATAATAGATATACAATATGATCCTCTATAGACACTGGTTTACCGGCTGCTGCTAGAGCATCAATGCACTTTTTAACTGGTGAAAAATAGTCTTTCAATGAAGAATTTCCCTTTTGTAGAGTATGTAATTTCGATTTAATCTTAATTACTTGCGCTAGGTTTCTAGATGTGAAAATTTGTGGAAGACAACTCTATATATCCCTAGCTGATGTACAATGTAGTAATTGTTCAAGCAGTGCTTCAGTCATAGATCCAAGTAATCATGATGATATCAACTTATCCTGACGTTTCCACTTATTAAAATTCAGATTCAACTTTGTAGTAGTAGAAGATTCCTCACTAACCGGAACGAATTTAGGGGGAGGATCATCTTCAAGATGTGACTCTAAACCATGACCTTCTAGGGTAGTCAGAACTTGAAATTTTCACAAAAGAAAATTATCATCAGTCAATTTCACAGTAGAGATTTTATTACCCAGATTTATCAATTGATTCAGTTGAACTTGATTGTTTCTGGCAGAATCTACTTCAGTGTTCGTCGACGGATCCATCTCAACCAATCGTCAAATTCGAGAAGAAATCGCGAACGAACAATGCCGTGATTGAGGTAATCTTGAGAAGGATGAAAGAAATCTAGCTAAAAAAAAATATTCGATCGAACTCTGTCTCAAGACGCGAGCTCTGATACCATGAAAACATTCTATATCCAGGAGAAAAGCCATATCTACTTCTCATTCATTTTCAGAAAAGTACAGAGAAGCCTTATATATGTGAGGCATAAAAACTCCTGAAAACACAGTATTTACACAAGAACAATCATAATTATCAAACTAATCAAATGACTCAGCTCAACTAAATAATAAACGCCACATAAGCTGGATACATCAGTTATCTTTAGTGATGAAAACATTTTATATCCAGGAGAAAAGCCATATTTGCTTCTCATTCATTTTCATAAAAGTACAGAGAAGCCTTATATATGTGAGGCATAAAAACTTCCAGTGATTTAAAAAGCTCGAGGTGCACAAAAGCTCAATAGACCTTTGGAGCTTAAGCGCGAGGTGCAAAAAAAAGCGCGGGCTTTTTTACGCGAGGCGCACTATATATAAAAACAAATAAAAATATATATATACACATATAAAACATATAAAAACCAAACAAGATTAGAAAACATCATAGATCTTAGCATAAAGAATCAATTGTCCACAAAAACATGAAAATGATCCTAAACTAGTATAAGTATGATAGTTCAAAATGAAAATCCAAAGATCAAACTCATCATCACTAAATAGTCCTTCAATTTCATCATTTTCATTCTCTTCATCATTAGGCTTGTAGCCATCTGCATCTTCCTCCTCGATGTAATCTTCGTCATCAATCAATTGTATGAGTGTGGCTTGTGTGGATTGAGAAGCACTTGAAGCTCCAGTTGTAGTCCTACTTCTTGACCTTGACGTACTTGCTCTAGAATGATAGGCAGGTTCTTTTACTCCCGTAGCTCTCGAAACATCACCCCATGTTAAGGAGTCATCACCAAAGACAAGATCATTATCCTCTTCAGAATCACTATCCATTCTCCCTGTCAACCACT